CATTTTTTAAAGGGAGATATTTTTATTGATTCTGTTTTAACTGGTATTCTAGTTCATATAGAATATATTTCCTATAAATCATTTAAACAACAAAGTAAAAGTTTATCTTGAATTTCCAGTGATCTTCATATGGTTAAAATCATAAATAATATTCAACGTTAAACTGGTACACAATTAAAAACATTTTATGTAGGCCTATCTATGGCCTTCAAAAAGTTGACGACTCTACATGTTTCGACGTTACAACGTCATCCTCAGTAGTTTCAATTATATATGTTTCTCTTTATTGCTTGTGTCTTATAGTCTATAAAATTTTCTTTATATTGAAACCTTATATACTTCAAATGCGTAATACTATACTCATAAGAAGTTGAAATGTTATATCCAAAAAACATGAAAATCATGTTTTTCATTTGTTTCTTTTAACAAGTGTCACAATAAGAGGCAGGCCACTAAATACTATTTATAATTAAATTAAAATTTTTGAACAATTGCTTAACTAGTCTAAATTAAAAGTTCTGAAAGAAAATGCAAAAGAAAAACATATTTAAAGGCATATAGAGAGTATTTATTGGTCAGTAAATACTTATAGCTCAGATTTTGTATGTATATGAAATAAAAAATTAAATATATTTAATTATGTGTGTGTGTGTGTGTATGTATATAGAGATCTTGCATCTGTTATGTTAATTTTAATATTGAAATGAAAGTTGATAAAAAACAATATCTATTTGCATGGATAATGTTTTAAAATGACTTTTCAGTTAATAATGACAAAAAAGCATTGCACATTAAAGAAAAACAAACAAACCAATATGTAAATTACAGTGTGGGAAAGGTAAAATGTACTGTAATAAGAGAAGTATTTCAAGAAGTGGGATCCACATGGCAGCCACAATACACTGGCTTTCACATTCAACCCAAATTTGACTATATAGTTGTGTGTCAGTGGCTTATTAATATTGCTAGTATAGTTAATATAATTAATAATATAATATAGTTAATATAATTAATAATACAATAGTTAATATAATTAATAATATAATATAGTTAATATAATTGATAATATAATATAGTTAATATAATATTAATATAGTTGTTTGTCAGTGTCTTATTAATATTGTTAGTATAGTTAATATAATTAATAATATAATATAGTTAATATAATTAATAATATAATATAGTTAATATAATTAATAATATAATATAGTTAATATAATATTGATATAGTTGTTTGTCAGTGTCTTATAAATATTGTTATTTGACAACATACATAATGTAGTGTTGTATGAAATGTATTTTAGTTGTTTTTATTCATCTAGTTATTTTTTTATTTCCATACAAGATTATGTGGTTTGTGTTTTTATGGGAGTAAATAAAATCCTACATTTTTGATCCCTTGAAAATTTAGAAAAAGGCCTTTTTTTTTTTACTTTCTAGCAGTACACATTAATAACACCAATCACTCAGGTATTATATCTCTTCAACTAAAAGCATTGTAGTGAAATACAAACATATCTCTTCATCACCCATTGCTTTATCTTACTTGTAGATTGAATTTCCATCGCTTACAATAAAATTCATAACTCTCCTAAGCTTCCTGTATTCAGTATTGATTTTGGTGTTTTCTGTAGGATATCTGTCTGTACTTGTATAATCTTTTCTGACATCAGTTAGGAGTGAATCAAAGTCCTCCACCTAGCTATCACTGCCCAAGATACGTTGATGCCAAAACCCAGCAAGCATCAGATAAATTTTAATTAGTATTTTATCCAGACAGCTTTTATTTTCTATAGCCATTTCTATGTCAACAATAGTTTTGGTTTTCATTTCAGCCTGCAAAACAAATCCAATAAAGTCAGAGACAGTTGATGCACGTCATTATTGTGAAGGCTTGTGCCGTACTCCATGCAGGTTAGTGTTACCTACAGGTAATTTCAGTAGTGTAGTGGTGTTTGAATTAAAAAGCTGTTTAGAAAATCAAACCTTAAATATATGCTAAATATGTATATATTCATAAAGTTAGTAGATTATTGTGGGAGTTATAAAGAGTTAGAGAGTGGGTTTATTATGACATGGTAAGTGAAATACAATTTAGAAGTTGTTCAGAAACTGGAATTGGGATCCATTGTTTTAGTAGGTATTAAAGCTAAGGATATAGATCTCAATGAATTTCATTTGTGAACATTAATAGATAACCTTTAATGTAAGATCTGGTTAAAGTACTGATAAATGATCTTCTCTTATATATGATATTTAGTATAAAAATATAATGAAACCAGTAACAGAACTGATGCATGGGCAGCTTTATTTGGATTATCCGTTAAAATAATGCCAAACACAGTTCATGTAATGATAATGAATAAGTTCATTTCTTTTATAATATTGGATACTGCTATACTTTTCCAAAAGTGTAACTTCAAATACAAAATCTTTCGACAGAAACTTCAAAACTACTGTAGGCCTCACTTCAAATACAAACTTTGATATGCATGCTGAATTTAATGAGCATTGATGAATAAATGAACACGTTACTTACCAAGAAACTTAATAGCAGAATAGACATTATAACACTCACTACAAACACTGAATTGAATCCCTCATTTACAATTAATGAGTTAAGTTTTCATTCATTACTCAGTAATGTCTTATTCATTACTCACTACTTGTGTTGATAATCAACTGTTGTTTCTTGGTTTCACAAAACTTCTTACTCCATAAATCAGCATATGGTTTGCAGCTCCATTTACTAAAGAAACATCTAAATCAAAACATTGAAAATATAGCTCACAACGTTGTCTCCCCTTCCTGGATTGTGAGGTCCTTTGTTCATTCCTAGTACAAAAACAGAACAGTTTGCCAACTTGTCCATTCACCAAGTTTTTAAAAGTATACAAATGGCATGACCTTTTGTCCTTTGTTATCATTTGCTTTCCTGTCATTGGTGTAGTTCACCCTGGGTAAGTGATTGAGTGAGATCATAAGTGGTTTTATCCATGGTGATCTCCTGGAAGTTGTCTCAACAGGAAACTTGGGATCCTCAATAGGTTGATTTTTCAATTGCCAATATATTTTTGGAGTTACTCAGTTAGCCATTTTCTCACTAACATACTTCCAAAGATAAACATGATGGTTGACCTTTGAATTGGACTATCTCTTTTTTTGAATTCTGTAAACCACATCATTGATTCTTTCATATGGACCTTCCCAACACCTGCTTGGCATTAGAGTTTGTCCTTTCTTGTGATGAAGATTGTACAACATACCATGTCACCTTGGTAGAAACCTATCTTATCAGCATTAACATCATGGTGAATTTTCATTTTATCACAAACTGATATAAATATTTCTGGGCTAAAGTCGTGTATGACATCTTTTCAAGATTTCCAATTCAATCATGAGGAACCAACTTTCAAAAAATAAAGTTTGGAAGTGGCTTGAATAGATAATGGAAGGAACTTTATTTTAGGTAACATTTGTACAACATTTGAATAAGCTGTTGTCATTACCACGTTGTACATTTCTTACTTGTAATACAGTTTCTTTCATTATACATTCAAGCCATCTCCAAACTTTATCTTTTCAGGAACTATGAGCTCCTCCAAGGTTGGGGTTCCACTAACAAGTTCTTCTCTGGAGTTATTCAGTTGGCCCTTCTCTCACAGATGTATTTCCTAACACGGTCATGGTAGATGATCTTTGGCTTTGGCTCTCTCATGACAAAAACTGTTCAGTCATATCATGTCATTTCAGTGGAATCCAATTTTATCAATATTTACAGATCAGCTGTATACCACTTTGTAACAAGCGGATTTCAGTCTTTTTTCGGTAAAGTTGTACAGTATCATTATCAATCAGATCTTTGAGAACTCTCCCAATCATTAATTTATTAAGACATATTGGAGTGTTTGGTTCCACTACATTCCAGTCATTAGGTGAATATTTATTCATAATAACTCCATGTTATCACTGGAAGTTCATTCTTTAGTGTAATAATTGTCATGTCGAGTATGGGAATTTCCTGGTCATAGACTGTAAAGTAGATGGAAGCTAGCCACACCTTGCATCCATGTCTCTGCACAAAGTTACTTTCCAATATGCACTCTTCCTCAGTATCAATCTCCCACACATCATGAGTTATAGAGAAGCTTCCTACAGTAAAGTTAACTTGTAACTTTCTTCTTGCTCAGAAACTCATCCTTAGAGTATTGTCTCTTCAGCGTATTAATAGCTGTTGATTCTTCATAGACTCAGCTATAATGACCACATTTGCCACTTCTAGAAGAGTTCCCTCTTTAAGGTATTCTCTGGAATTTTCTAGTAATATGTCCTTTCAAGTTACAAATGTTCTGTGTATTTGATTTAATTTGTGTCATCACAGAAAAAGTGCTTCACAGATACATGTGCTTCCACAAATTGAACATACTTTGAGTGCAATGTTTCATAGTTTTCAAAAACACTTCCTAGAAACAAACATCAAGAAACTGTCATGACTCTTTTTTTATTGTTAATAAAAAAAGGGTCAGATTGCAGCTCACATAATTCCATCTGAAGATCTGATGGCTGTGTCTCAACAGTAATTTCCATTGGGTTTTTAAACAGCTCAAGACTCAGCTTTAACGTGTCAAAGTCTGCAAATCTTTCTTCAAACTCAGCAGAATGTTCTCAAGTTTTTTTGTAAAGGTCAAAAAGTCTGCTGTGCTATCATCTTACAGCAATCCACAGCTAGAAGAGAAGTGGGTAATATAATTTTTCTTGAGACACAGCTGAGAGACATTCTGCTGCCTACCTTGCAATATGAAGTTCAGCACATTCAGGTGATCAGTCATGTCTGTCAGGAATGCTAAGGAGTGAAGGAATTCATTATATCACAGTTCATCAATATATCAGTGTGTGTTACCAATTTGGAGGAGGTATAGGATTTCTTTTTTTAAAAAAAAAGGAGAAACACTTTTTGCAGTGCCGTCTAGTACCACCAGCCAATCATAGCTGAAGTTCTAAAATCAAAAGTAACCAGTCATAGCTTTGCATTTCATGTACTATGAGCAATATATAAAATATTACTTCTTTAGGAAGTGCAAAAATTAAGGCACTAGACTAACCTCATAACTAGTAGAAAGAATAGGTTTTATATAGTCCAGCAATAAATTATTCCAAAAATATAGAATAGTTATGCAAGGCTTATTAAAATTTTACTAACATGCTGTTTAAAGTACTGTTTGTTTCTTCAGCAATTATTATTAAAGATAACATCCCCAACAAAAAAAAAACTTTTTTTTTTGTGGGGCCTGTGTGCCACAAAAATCATCTGACAGGCTAAATGTAGCCTGTGGGCTCGTAATTAGACTACCCTGTTCTAGACTATCATCATGGAGAGTTGATGTTTCAAAACTATTTGATTTGGTGATTCCATAAATTTGAGATTCTTTATTTGTCTATCTACAACTTTAATGGATTTAAGTTCCAGTAAAAACTGTTTTAAACAGTGGTAGCTAACTTATCAAACATATTCTGAGTGACACACGAAAAGGAAGTATCCAGAAGTGATGGATTAGTTTAAATCAAGTTTGTAGGCATATGTTTTTAAAGATAGCTCTGAAGTTAGAAGAACTTTAGGGATTTATGGTTAGAATAGCTATCATAGATCTGAAGAATAGTGATGCCATACATGACTTTTGCCAAGAAAAATGTAAATTAGTTTGTAATAAAATGAAAAGTCACTGTGATTTTAATGCTTGTAATATTGATTTGGCCTAACAGTTTTCATTGCAAGAAAGAATGGACAAATCCCAAAGTTTAATAGGTGTTGGGAAAGACTGTGTGTAACATAGAAAAGAATTGATGATATGGTTTACAGAATCCAGAAGAAAAGGCAGTCCAAGTTAAAGGTCTTTGAAAGTACATCAGTGAGAGAACACCCAACTGGGTAACTCAAGAGAAGTCAACCTGCTGATGAGTCCAGGGTTCCTATTGAGACTACTTTCAAAGAATTACCAAGGATAAAGCCACAAGTGGATTTGTTTCACCATCTACATAAGGAGAATTCCCCCAGCAAGGGACAAGAGGACATCCTCTCTCTGAATGTCATTTACTTCAGAAAAGAAAATCACCAAAAAGACTTGATGAATGGACAGTTTAGTGTAGTGTTTTATTTTTGTATTAGGTTTGTTCAAAGGTCTTCACAATCTAGGAAAAGACAATGTTTATACTGTATTTTCAATGTTTTAATTTAGATGATACCTAGAGAGTGTGTAGGGTTAAAATCTAGTAAATTTGACTAAAATCTAGATGAGTACATTAGTTATAAATACAGGTAATGACTAATAAGAAATAGTGAAACATTTATTGAGAAGTGATTGAGAATTCAGAGAAGTGTTTAGTATGTGTAAAAGACTGAATAATGGTTGATTGAAAGAAGATTGATCGAGTAAAGTTTATTGGCCAGATAGGATTAGTAATTGTGAACATTTCTGTTAAACATTATTAGTGCATTAGACCTACAGTAGTTTTAGAGTTTAAGATGGAAAGTTTTTTTTAACTATGGCCTTCAATTTACATGAAAGTAAACATAGCCTGTAGTGATCGTAGCTGAAGAAATAACTTAATTCATTATTGTTACATGGACTGGTCCTTATTTTCACTAAAATATTCTAAAGAACCTGCCCAATGATAGAACATGTTATAACAGTATTCTGACAGTTTTATTATATATATAAACTTGTATAATTAAATGTAATATATATATATATATATATTGGTGTACTTTGGTGACAGATTTTCTTGTAGGCAGATTTT